GGAGCATTAAATATCGTATAAAACGTTAATATAAACATTTTGCTTAATCTATCTAAATACACCCCACAGTAGAATAAATTAACATAAATATGAGCAGATGAAAGAGTGGGAGAGGCACTGTCAAATTTTAATGAAAATAAGAAAAAATTTTGGAGCGAGTTAAACAAGTTAAGAAAGCCTAGGGAAAGTATGGATTTGTCCGTTAAAAACAGAGTAGGGGAGTTAGATGGGGAGAGGGAGGTATTAGGTAGATGGCGAGAATATTTTGAGGAACTTTAAAATTTTTTTTTTTTTTTCAACAAGTCGGCCGTCTCCCACCGAGGCAGGGTGACCCAAAAAAGAAAGAAAATCCCCCAAAAGAAAATACTTTCATCATCATTCAACACTTTCACCACACTCACACATTATCACTGCTTTTGCAGAGGTGCTCAGAATACAACAGCTTAGAAGCATATACGTATAAAGATACACATATCCCTCCAAACTGCCAATATCCCAAACCCCTCCTTTAAAGTGCAGGCATTGTACTTCCCATTTCCAGGACTCAAGTCCGACTATATGAACATAACCGGTTTCCCTGAATCCCTTCACTAAATATTACCCTGCTCACACTCCAACAGATCGTCAGGTCCCAACTATCATTCGCCTCCATTCACTCCTATCTAACATGCTCATGCACGCTTGCTGGAAATCCAAGCCTCTAGCCCACAAAACCTCCTTTACCCCCTCTTTCCAACCCTTTCAAGGACGACCCTACCCCTCCTTCCTTCCCTATTGATTTATATGCTTTCCATGTCATTCTACTTTGATCCATTCTCTCTAAATGACCAAACCACCTCAACAACCCCTCTTCTGCCCTCTGACTAATGCTTTTATTAACTCCACACCTTCTCCTAATTTCCACACTCCGAATTTTCTGCATAATATTTACACCACACATTGCCCTTAGACAGGACATCTCCACTGCCTCCAACCATCTCTCCCGCTGCTGCATTTACCACCCAAGCTTCACATCCATATAAGAGTGTTGCACCACTATACTTTCATACATTCCCTTCTTTGCCTCCATAGATAAACGTTTTTTGACTCCACATATACCTCAACGCACCACTCACCTTTTTTCCCTCATCAATTCTATGATTAACCTCATCCTTCATAAATCCATCCGCCGACACGTCAACTTCCAAGTATCTGAAAACATTCACTTCTTCCATATTCCTCCTCCCCAATTTGATATCCAATTTTTCTTTATCTAAATCATTTGATACCCTCATCACCTTACTCTTTTCTATGTTCACTTTCAACTTTCTACCATTACACACATTCTCAAACTCATCCACTAACCTTTGCAATTTTTCTTTAGAATCACCCATAAGCACAGTATCATCAGCAAAAAGTAACTGTGTCAATTCCCATTTTGAATTTGATTCCCCATAATTTAATCCCACCCCTCTCTTGAACACCCTAGCATTTACTACTTTTACAACCCCATCTATAAATATATTAAACAACCATGGTGACATTACACATCCCTGTCTAAGACCTACTTTTACCGGGAAGTATTCTCCCTCTCTTCTACACACCCTAACCTGAGCTTCACTATCCTCACTATCTTTTAAATGTTGAGGAAGAAAGGGAGGCAGTAATTTCATGCACTGGCCAGGTAGGTATACCATCTTTTAGGAGTGAAGAAGAGCAGAATGTAAGTGTGGTGGAGGTACGTGAGGCATTACGTAGAATGAAAGGGGGTAAAGCAGCTGGAACTGATGGGATCATGACAGAAATGTTAAAAGCAGGGGGGGGATATAGTGTTGGAGTGGTTGGTACTTTTGTTTAATAAATGTATGAAAGAGGGGAAGGTACCTAGGGATTGGCAGAGAGCATATATAGTCTCTTTATATAAAGGGAAAGGGGACAAAAGAGATTGTAAAAATTATAGAGGAATAAGTTTACTGAGTATACCAGGAAAAGTATACGGTAGAGTTATAATTGAAAGAATTAGAGGTAAGACAGAAAGTAGAATTGCGGATGAGCAGGGAGGCTTCAGAGTGGGTAGGGGATGTGTAGATCAAGTGTTTACATTGAAGCATATATGTGAACAGTATTTAGATAAAGGTAGGGAAGTTTTTATTGCATTTATGGATTTAGAAAAGGCATATGATAGTGGATAGAAGAGCAATGTGGCAGATGTTGCAAGTATATGGAATAGGTGGTAAGTTACTAAATGCTGTAAAGAGCTTTTATGAGGATAGTGAGGCTCAGGTTAGGGTGTGTAGAAGAGAGGGAGAATACTTCCCGGTAAAAGTAGGTCTTAGACAGGGATGTGTAATGTCACCATGGTTGTTTAATATATTTATAGATGGGGTTGTAAAAGAAGTAAATGCTACGGTGTTCGGGAGAGGGGTGGGATTAAATTATGGGGAATCAAAATTCAAAATGAGAATTGACAGTTACTTTTTGCTGATGATACTGTGCTTATGGGAGATTCTAAAGAAAAATTGCAAAGGTTAGTGGATGAGTTTGAGAATGTGTGTAAAGGTAGAAAGTTGAAAGTGAACATAGAAAAGAGTAAGGTGATGAGGGTATCAAATGATTTAGATAAAGAAAAAATGGATATCAAATTGGGGAGGAGGAGTATGGAAGAAGTGAATGTTTTCAGATACTTGGGAGTTGACGTGTCGGCGGATGGATTTATGAAGGATGAGGTTAATCATAGAATTGATGAGGGAAAAAACGTGAGTGGTGCGTTGAGGTATATGTGGAGTCAAAAAACGTTATCTATGGAGGCAAAGAAGGGAATGTATGAAAGTATAGTAGTACCAACACTCTTATATGGATGTGAAGCTTGGGTGGTAAATGCAGCAGTGAGGAGACGGTTGGAGGCAGTGGAGATGTCCTGTCTAAGGGCAATGTGTGGTGTAAATATTATGCAGAAAATTCTGAGTGCGGAAATTAGGAGAAGGTGTGGAGTTAATAAAAGCATTAGTCAGAGGGCAGAAGAGGGGTTGTTGAGGTGGTTTGGTCATTTAGAGAGAATGGATCAAAGTAGAATGACATGGAAAGCATATAAATCTATAGGGGAAGGAAAGAGGGGTAGGGGTCGTCCTCGAAAGGGTTGGAAAGAGGGGTAAAGGAGGTTTGTGTGGCGAGGGCTTGGACTTCCAGCAAGCATGCAATGAGCGTGTTAGGAGTGAATGGAGACAAATGATACTTGGGACCTGACGATCTGTTGGAGTGTGAGCAGGGTAATATTTAGTGAAGGGATTCAGGGAAACCGGTTATGTTCATATAGTCGGACTTGAGTCCTGGAAATGGGAAGTACAATGCTGCACTTTAAAAGGGGGGGTTTGGGATATTGGCAGTTTGGAGGGATATGTTGTGTATCTTTATACGTATATGCTTCTAAACTGTTGTATTCTGAGCACCTCTGCAAAAGCAGTGATAATGTGTGAGTGTGGTGAATGTGTTGAATGATGATGAAAGTATTTTCTTTTTGGGGATTTTCTTTCTTTTTTTGGGTCACCCTGCCTCGGTGGGAGACGGCCGACTTGCTGAAAAAAAAAAAAAAAAAAAATAGATGCGGTAGCCAGGAAATTTGTGGTAGCCAGGCAACTTGTAGGACTTATGGTAGCCTGGCAACTTGTAGGACTTGCGAGGAGAACCAGACGCGTTCATCTGGTTTGCTTACATTGTGTGTGGGTGGGGTTGGGAGGGCTGCCCTTCCTGGCTACCCATACTTCCCAACTTTACTTCAGACAAATACAACTCGCCTCTCACCGTACATTAAGAGTACAAATATTTTAAGGTAATTAACGAGTTTGGAGGGATATGTTGTGTATCTTTATATGTGTATGCTTCTAAACTGTTGTATTCTGAGCACCTCTGCAAAAACAGTGATAATGTGTGAGTGTGGTGAAAGTGTTGAATGATGATGAAAGTATTTTCTTTTTGGGGATTTTCTTTCTTTTTTGGGTCACCCTGCCTCGGTGGGAGACGGCCGACTTGTTGGAAAAAAAAAAAAAATATGAGTGTACTGTATATGCATTTTATCGCTCTAGGGAGCGTAGTTATAAGTGGTCAGGCAGGATGCCATACATCCCACACGACTTTCTACAGATAAATACTTTTCACTTCTCGCCCTACAGTAAGACCATTTTAAGACTACAAATATTTTAAGGTAAGTAATGTGTGTACTGTATATGCATTTTATCGCTCTAGGGGGCTTTAAGTATCGTAGTATAGTATGTGTGGGTGGGGAGGCTAGGAGGGCTACCACACCTGACTTCTTTGAGTAAATACTACTCGCCTTTTGCCCTACATTAAGACTACAAATATTTTGAGGTAAATAATCAGTGTACTGTGTGTGTATTTCACTTTTTAATGCCTAGTTCTGTTGCTAACTTAATATGTTAGTGTAAACTTGTTATCTGGCATTTATATGCATTTATAAATGGAAAAAAAAAATGGAGTTCTGCTTTCTGGCAAAATCTGCTTTCTGGCAGTAGCCTGGAACCTAACCTGCCGAATAAGTGGGGCCCTACTGTATAGGTTTGCTATTCAGTTTTGGGTATCCATGGTAGGTCTTGGAACGTATCATCCATGGATACGGGAATCCTTCTGTAATTATGAACACTGGAAATAGATGCTACAGACCCCATTCTGGGGTTGATTCACAAAATGCCAAGCACATGTACACATCATGTATTTTCAGTGTTACATTCTAGTGTTCACACTATATTCAGCCTGGGAACATGTTGATTATACCTCGTGTGTTTGTGTATACTTGTATGTGTAAGAGTACTTACCTAGTTGTGCTTATCTGGTCAAGCTACAGATTTATTTGTTTATATGTTTTGGATTAAATTGTCACATGTTATACTGCATTGGATCAACAAATTTTTCTATACACTTCTGTGTAGGAAATGTATATAATAAATTTAATTAGTTATATAGATATTCTTTTTGCTTTACTGTTTAATAAGTTCTTTTGCTACACGTAGACTCGGTGCTCTTCTGGGGTGCAGGGAGCACTGCGTCAGTTGGTGAGTAGTGCCAGCAGACTGCAGACTGAGTGCCGCGGACATCTTGCCTCTCATGCACACACCCTCGATCCAAAGTTTGTTACCCAGCAGGTTATACAATGTGCGTATGACATAGCCAAGGGTGCAAAGGTGTTGGTAACACACTTCCAGTGAAAGTTAAGCATTGGTAATAATATATTTACTTAGGTTCTTCTATCTCTAATGAAGGGAAATAGTATACTTCCAGTTGAATAATAGTGTGAAATGTTTGCAATGGCACGGGTCATGTTCCTCCTCCTCATGCACTGCAGTCACAGTTAATCTTCATCCTACTGCACATAAGACTAGTATTGTAGATCAACTAGACAAACCAGTCTTTATGGCATTTTCTGAAGAGTATTGGCTGTGAGTGAGCAAGTTAAAATATGTAGGTAATTATATCCTGATTTTTTTTTAATTGTTATTATTTCTTCTGTGACTGCATCTTTTTTTTAGTGAAATAGGTAGCATGCTTTTAATGCAAAAATAATGTATATCAAAGTATATGCATCCTACTCTTGAAACAAAATGGAAAGTCTGTATATCTGTGACTGAATTCAGAAACTACAACTTTGAATCAAAAGGACATCATGTATTTTCATATAGTTTTATTGTGAATATGGTGAGATGGATGGAGACGTACGTATACATGTACGTATATGCATTTTTATTTATCAAATAAGATTAAAGAATTTTGCAAGCATTTCACTAAACAAAAAGAAACTGGTTTTTCTAGTGTTTACTGTGTATGTAACAAAAGAAAAATAAGACTTAATAAGATTTCAACTGTAAGGAATCTCTATGCCTATATTTCAGCGTGGCAGCAAAAATATGCCATAGTAATGATTTTTATGTCCCTTATAGGGACTTGGAATAATTACTGTAAGAGCAAAAAGGTTATTCATTCAATGTGAATGCATTTTTATCTTGGTTTCTTTGTGCATTTCCAAAAGCAAAATAGTACGTGTGCAAAGGTGAATGTGGTGCTGAAGTGACAGGCAGTAATTGTATAAACATAACACGTTTGGCTTCAATGATACAGGTGCTCCTTAACTTACAATGGAGTTAGGTTCCAACAAACCCATCGTTAGTCGAATGTGAATATTATATGCTAAATAAATAAATAAATAAATAATTAAATACTGTCATTGAATAAGTAGATAAAATAGTTACTGTAACTAGATACCAATATTAAAAAGTAAATAAATGAATATAAGTTACGGACTTACCACCTTCACGTTGGGTAATTATCTCAAGTTTCATCTCCAGAGTAAGTGCTTTTGCATCATAGTCAAAATAAGTTGAACCATCATAAGTCGAGGAGCACCTGTAATAACAACAACCTAGATTGTGGCTTGTTTGATTATTTTCAGGCTCATCCAAAACATTTTCAATTACATTAAAAATACAGTGCTCTCATAATTCGTGCAGCTGTAACCTGCATTTTCAGAAAGTTTGTCATTTATTTAAATATTGTGTCCAAGACCTTGAATCATGCGTGATAAACAGCTTTGAAGCAAGTTGCAGTTATTTTTGTCCATGTCAAGGGCAAGGCCATTGCTTTAGGGAAGGTCTAGTATTACACCTTGGTGTACATACTCGGACAAGTTGTCATTTGGCTTCTGGAGGTGACCTTTACCATACTCTCTAATGCGTATCATTTAATTTTCGATTGTTTCGTCACCCTATCTTGTCTCTGGCACACTAAAAGAATTCTGATGGTGCTGGAGGTGCCAAGAAGAAAAATTGTGAAACTGAATGTTTTCCAAGAAAGTTTGGGCAAATATTCATCAAGGTTTGTAGTGGTGAGAGTCTTGCATGAATGCTGATAACCCATAATTACCCTGTAATTGCACTCTCTCATGTCTTTAATAAGTCATTTGTGTATCCTGCTGTACTTAAGTGAAAAATATCAAACATGAAAGTTATGATCTAGTGGCCCGTACGTCATATGATGAGGCAACCACGGGAAATTTTCCTGACAAGTATGTAGCCCAAAAAGACTGCATCAACCATATCTATATACTTAAGTGGCAACAAGGAATTGAAGGCAAGATAAAATTCTTTTTTGTTACTTTTTTTTTTTTTTTTGCTTATTTAACAGGAAAAAGTTGTGTAGTAAAGTGAAGAGAATACATCAGTTGATAACTGGACCAAGGGAAATTTCCCTGCTAGGTCTCTGGCCTAGGGAGGTCACATAAACAATCTTGACACACTTCTGTAGCAATAGGTAGGAGGAATAAGAAATTTAAGGTAGGTTGAATTTTTTTTAGTCACTTTTTATCATATATCAAATGAGAAAATTATCTTGGTGGTAATTTTGAGGGTCGTCATTGCTGATTCCTTGTTGCACTTTACCTCCCAGTTTCAGTGACAGGAATATGCATTCAACTTAGCTCAGTCAGCAAAAGGTTTCCTCCAGCATTTAGCAAAGGTAGGTGGTAGTTTTAGGTAATGGTGGTAGACGATTGTAGTAGTAGCTGATAACATTACTGGCTAGCCTTTTTAGCTGCACGTACTCTTGTTTTTGACTATCTTCATCAGAATTTAAGGTGAGAAAAGTTGTTTTAAATAATCTCTTTATCTTCATGTATGGTCCAGTTGTTGGCCTTTATCGAGTTATCCTAGGTTAATTATTTAATGTACTTATGTGCCCATAGCATCTCTAAGGTATCAAACACTATTATTTTCAATGTATGTTATTCACGCTGTAAGTTGCAGTTTCATAAATGGTGCCAATTTGAAGAACCCAACCTGTGCGAATTATCAGAGTACACTGTATAACTCAAAATTTACTAGACAATGCAACCAGATTTTATGAAAATGTAATACTCGTTCAGGAGAATTATCATTTTATCAGAACTTTATTGATATACTCTTGTTTACCATAACTTATATTACTGAAAGTTATTTGAATAGTAAATGTATCTTTTTTGTTCATAGTCTTAGGCAAAAAAAATTTAAGAATAAATTTTTATTAAAATTTAAATTTGCAGGATTTAAATTGTAAAGAATGTTAAAAATTTCACAATTGAGAGATGGAATAATCTTAATTGCGAAGTTTTTGTAATGGAGGTACTATTGGTGACAGCATGAGGTGTATGATTTCAGCTTGACAGTTTCATTAGTTTCATAGCACAAATGAATAATTATAAAAACTAATCATGATGTTTGTTCAGTCTTTAATTTATCTTAATTTCATATGTTACTTCCCACATTTGTTGAAATATTATAGTAGGGATAATTTTCTGTAAGCACATTTACTTTTATAATTAAAATTGCATATTTTAGAGGTTAAAAAAATAATTAAAAATAGCTAAAGGCAGCTAGGTTTAAATAAAATAACAGCTGATAGCCCTTACAGTACTTAGTTGTATTGGTATCATCAATAGACAGAATATCAATGTTCGGAGATCAGCGAGTCACTGTAGTAGACTAGAGAGGCATCAGAGTTTGCTACTGTTATCTGAAGATCTATAATGATTGTTAGTTTTTAAATTTGATAATTGCTAGATGTATGCTAATATTGTGCCTAATGAGCAAAAGTCAGTCAAATGTGCCAACTGCCTTTAAAAAAGTGTTTTAAAAATATGTTATGCATTTATTTATATGTTAATATGGTTTATTATGGAATTCAAACAGTTTTACACCAAAACTAACTTAGCAACCTACCCTAACCTTGCTAAATTAATGTTATATAGCCTAATCCTATCAATCTTGAGCCTAAATTAATTTAGTATTTAACATTATGATGTATTTTTTTTTTTTTTTTTGTGCAGTGTTACTGCAATAATGAATTTTCACTTGGTCTTACAAGGTAAAAGTGGCCAAATAAGCTGAGGCAGCAAATTCAATTTAAAAACTGAATACACTCTAGGGAAACATAAAATAATTTCTAGTAGAATTTTGTTATATAGTATACTATGTGTATTACTTATTTACCAATGTCAGCTGTACTGGTGCTTTTGATTGTTATTGGTGTGTGCACAGTAACTTTTATGTAGAATTAGTCAATAAACTTTAGATGCATGAGGGGAAATATTACAAGTATCAGTTTTGGAAATCATGGAATATATGACCTGTCATTGTTAAAACAATAGTTGTAAGATATTGTTAATCATATATATTGTAAAGTGTAATTTTTGTGAATAAGGTAAAGTTAGACATTTGATTCATGCAGATGTTGATCATTTACCATGATAATCATATGATTGTTTGAAATGAGGGGAAAATAGTTATCTGTTGGAAAATAATTGTGGGATATGGTTTTTCAATTTATGTGGCTTGCACCTAGGAAAAAACACCTGGCCAGATGAAGTTGACTTGCTCTGACACAAAGTTGGGACTAGGGGGTAGAGGGGGGAGGTAGGAAAGAGCAGTAGGGGAAATACGAATTCATAGACTCTTAGTATGTGCACTTTAATCCAGACAGACAGACAGGCTGGTTGATTGGTGGTGGAGAGACAAGGGAGGGTAAAAAGGAGGAGGATTATAATTGAATTTTGGATTTAATTTCTTGGTTGATTTTTGTCCAATTACATTTTCTTTTAGTATATAGCTAATTGGTGCCTGTCTGATATGCTCATAATTTTTCACACATGGGTTATCTTACCATGGTAGATTGACCCAAAGAAAAAAGCACATTTACCTATTCATTCAATAACTGTCCTCCCAGAAGTGGGCAGACAATTCAAATGGCCCTCTGACCTAGGTAATACAGTGCAGACACTGTATTAACCACCTCCGGAACTGTCTAATTGACTGATTTTCCTAAATCTCGCCAAAAGTGCATCAGGTCCCCCCAAACCACTTGTCTCCTACCTAACATGCTTGCACAAACTTGCTGGCCACTCGAGCCCCTAGCACTCAAAATCTCTTGTATACTGCCCCTCCTCCAACCTTCAAAATATATTGGTAAAAATTAGCAATGTGGACTCCTCTCTCCCTAATTTTTGTAAAGGGTTTATAATAGACTTTTGAATTTTATTTTTCCTCAGTTTTTCAGTGAAATTTTTTTTCTTTTTTTTACCTCTCAACAAGTCGGCCGTCTCCCACCGAGGCAGGGTGACCCAAAAAGAAAGAAACTCCCCAAAAAGAAAATACTTTAATCATCATTCAACACTTTCACCTCACTCACACAATCACTGTTTTTGCAGAGGTGCCCAGAATACAACAGTTTAGAAGTATATACGTATAAAAATACACAATATATCCCTCCAAACTTCCAATATCTCAAACCCCTCCTTTAGAGTGCAGGCATTGTACTTCCCATTTCCAGGACTCGAGTCCGGTTATATAAAATAACTGGTTTTCCTGAATCCCTTCACTAAATATTACCCTGCTCACACCCCAACAGCTCGTCAGGTCCCAAATACCATTTGTCTCCATTCACTCCTATTTAACATGCTCATGGACGCTTGTTGGAAGTCCAAACCCCTCGCCCACAACACCTCCTTTACCCCCTCCCTCCAACCTTCTCGAGGACGACCCCTACCCCGCCTGCCTTCCCCTGCAGATTTATACGCTCTCCATGTCATTCTACTTTGATCCATTCTCTCTAAATGACCAAACCATCTCAACAAACCCTCTTCAGCTCTCTGACTAATACTTTTATTAGCTCCACACCTTCTCCTAATTTCCACACTCCGAATTTTCTGCACAATATTTACACCACACATTGCCCTTAGTCAGGACATCTCCACTGCCTCCAACCACCTCCTCGCTGCAGCATTTACCACCCAAGCTTCACACCCATATAAGAGTGTTGGTACTACTATACTTTCATACATTCCCTTCTTTGCCCCCATAGATAACATTTTTTGCCTCCACATATACCTCAATGCACCACTCGCCTTTTTTCCTTCATCAGTTCTATGATTAACCTCATCCTTCATAAATCCATCCGCTGACACGTCAACTCCCAAATATCTGAAAACATTCACTTCTTCCATACTTCTCCTCCCCAATTTGATATCCAATTTTTCTTTATCTAAATCATTTAATACTCTCATCACCTTACTCTTTTCTATGTTCACTTTCAACTTTCTACCTTTACACACATTCTCAAACTCATCCACTAACCTTTGTAATTTTTCTTTAGAATCTCCCATAAGCACAGTATCATCAGCAAAAAGTAACTGTGACACTTCACATTTTGCATTTAATTCCCCATAATTTAATCCCACCCGTCTCCCGAACACCCTAGCATTTACTTCTTTTACAACCCCATCTATAAATATATTAAATATTATGTATTATATATTACAAAATTATATATTTGTATATAATTGGTTGATGCCTATCTGGTAACTTCATAATTTTTTGATAAACATAAGTAATGTGTTTTCCTACAATTTTGTATTATATGGGGTTTATGATTGAATTTTATTTTTTTTTCCAAGTGTTTTATCAACCAAAATCAATTATTTTTTGTATATGACCATATAGTGCATATGCAATAAGCTCGTATTTTTTTGGTAAAATTTAGTGGAGAAATGTGAAAGTGAAAATTTGTTCATGTTATGTTGGGTTCACTTTGTACCCATTGGCCAGGAATGTATCTGTTACATAAAACAAGGGAGAAGACCTCTATAATTATTGCAGGTTGGCTACCACTAATCCAGCATCATTGGGACCTGTAGTGTGCCGGATTAGTGAGTTTGCCGGATTACAGAGTGGTTAGGTTAGAATAACCTTTCTGCTATATCTTAATTTTCATTGCTTTCTCCTCCACTGGCTTGCTGCTGTGGATTTACAGCCATCTGCACAATTTCAGAGTCAGTATAATGATGAAATTTGAAATAATGCTAGCCGAAATTAGTGCTGGCTTACTGATGGAACCGGATAACTGACTACTGGATTAGTGATGGCCGACCTGCTACTGCAATCTTGTCATAAAAGGTTTATTAACAAATCTTTAGAATTTGGAGGGAGGTGTCATGCTTTCATTCAGGATGGAGTCTTCTGAACTGTGATGTCAGCATGCTTTTGGCAAGACAGTGATTGAATGAATGATGAAAGTTTCTTCTTTTTCAAGTCACCCTGATCTTCATTGGGGGCTCCTTGATGTGGCAGAGGGGCTCTTGGTCTTGGGAATTAAACCCTTTGGTCTCCTTCCTCTGACAGAACCCAGTTACCCCCCACTCCTCCCTTCCCTATCCCATCCTCCTCATCCCCCCCTTTTTTCTGCCCTCTCAACCCTCCCCTTACCCTGTCCCATTTGTAGTCTCTAGGGTTCTCCCCTCTGGCATTATGGTTTCTAGGTAGGGAGAAGTGTGCTGAGGTTCATCTCACTCCGTGGGGTTCCTCGGGGGTGGTGTAGTTTGCCGTGGAATCTGAATTGTCTGGAGTGCCCTGCTTCCTTCCCGGATTTCTGAGAAGTGGGGAGGTGTCCTGCAGATGGTGGGTGTATCTCCAGAGGCTGCCTGTTGGTTATGGGAGGTGACAGTCGAAGGAGGTATGCTTTGTGGTGGATTTCCAACCTCCCCCTCTTTTGTCCGCCGAGGTAGTTCAATAGATGTGAGGTCGCTAACCCGGATCGCTGGTTTACTGGCGTGAAGGGTAGGGTATTGCATGGGTTCCATGCTGCATCTACACTGCTAGTGGGCGCTAGGTCCTCTTGGATGAGAGGAGGAACTTACGGCCCTTCCATGCCTTCTAGTGACTGTCCTTCCGCTATCTCTTCTTTTTCTTTCCCTCTTTCTTTTTTTCATTAAAATAACAAAGAAGCATCACTATCATGGAGTCTTCATTCTGTGATAACCCTCCTCCCAGGCCCCTTTCTGTTCCCCCATCCTGTTCTGACCTGGCTTCGTTATTAGACCATTCTCTAGACTCTTCTCGTACCCCTGTACCTTCTGTGGGCGATGCTTTGTCCAGGTGGTGGGGTGCCACCTATTTCTGTTAATGCTTCTGCCTCTTGCACGCCTTTAGCGATGTGTCGGGCTTCCCTGAATACGGCGTGACAATTTTTGGATTGCCCACCTCCCTTAGGTCGGGCCGCCCGTTCTACTACTAAACTTTCCAGACCATCTACTGACGACGGTTCTTCAATGTCTACCCAAAAGCGAACTTCACAACACCCACTTCCTTTGCACACTGGGTTTACAAGTACACAGTGGACTAAATTCTTTTCCCTACCACTGACATCTCCAACTGATTATCTTTCTGACCATAGTATTGATAAAGCCCTGTTATGACACGTTGGCCAAAATATATCCTTTCACACTCTTCAAAGAGGTGCGAGCATCGTTACAGTTCAGAATTCAGAACATGCTCGTGATCTTTCCCATGTTACTTCCATAGATGACATCCCAATTACAGTTCACAAGCACGCTACTCTCAATTCTTGCAGTGGTACTGTGGTTTTACCGTGTACCATTGTACAGTGAGATTTTCTGTCTTGAGGCCTCTTCAAGGGGGGCTCCTTGGCGTGGTGAAGGGGCTCTTGGTCTGAGGAATTAGACCTGCCGGTCTCCTTCCTCAGACCAAACCTAATTACCTCCCAATCCCCCCTTCCCTATCCCATCCTCCCCTTTTCCGTTTCCTCCTCCCCCTCCCCACCCCTCCCTTTTGCCCTTCCTCTTTTTGGCCTTTGGGGTTTTTCCTACAGGCGCGCTAGTTCCTAGGTAGGGGAAAGGGTACCGGGGTCCATCCCATTCTGTTGAGGTTCTTGGCAGTGGCGTAGTTTGCCGTGGAATCTGGATCGCCTGGGGATGTCCCGATCCCTCTCCGGTATCCCGGAGAGTGGCTTTGGGTGTCTTTCGGGCGACTGGTGTATCTCTGGAAGCCACCTTTCGGATTCTGGGGGCGGTGGCCGAAGGAGGTATGCTTTGTGGCGGATATCCGGCCGCCCTCTCTTTTGTCCACCGAGGTAGCTCGGCAGATGTGAGGTTGCTATCCCGGATTGCTGGTTTACTGGCATGATGGGTAGGGTATGGCACGGGTTCCATGCTGCATCTACGCTACTTGCGGTGCTGGGGTCCTCTTGGGCGCGGAGGGAGATTTCTGGACCTTTCATTCCTCCTAGGAACTATCCCTCCCCGGTCCCCCCTTTTTTTATTCTTTTTTTTATTTTTATTTTCTTTTTCTTTTTTTCTTAAAAACAAAAAGAAAGAAGTAATCTAACCATGGAGAACCCAATCCATGAACCTGGTACCCCTGGGCCCCTTCTTGATACCGCACCCCGTTCTGACCCCGCCTCGTCTTTGGACCACTCTTCGGACACTCCTCATGCCTCTGTACCTCTTGCTGGTGCTGTTTCCTCACCCGCTTCAGGTACTGAGGTCTCAACTGACTCCTTCGATTTATCTGACCTCCGCTCTCCTTTGACTATGCTTCCGGCCTCTCCCTCTACGGTGCGGCAATTTTCGAATCACCAGCCCATTCCACGTCGGACCAACTCTGGTCACACGACTAAATGCCAACGACAATTACCTGCTGATGATACTTCTACACCTTCTCATTCTTCTCAGAAAAGATCGACACGTCCTGCACTCCCTTTCCACACTCAGTTTCAGACTGCACAATGGACTAAATTCTTCACTTTACGACCGACTTCCTCTACCGCCTATCTTTCCGACCACAGTATTGGCAAGGCACTCCTACGCCATGTTGGTAAAGATATTTCTTTTCATGCTCTTAAGAGCGGTACGCGCATCATCACGGTACAGAATGCTACCCAAGCTCATGATCTTTCTCTTTTTCCCATATAGATACTGTTCCTGTCACTATTGAAAAACATCATTCCCTCAATTCTTGTAGTGGTACCATCATTCTGCCCCATACCATAGTTCAACAAAATTTCCAGACATGTGGCAATGACATTCTTGAACAGCTGGAACTCCAAGATCTCCCAATCCTCAAGGTAGACACTTACGTTCTTCCTGCCCGCGGGCGGAGACGATACCCTAGCAATGTGGCTCATTTAACTTTTGACAGCCGTGAACTCCCATCCTCAGTTTATGTAGCAGGACATAGGTTACAAGTTCGAAAGGTGATCCCTACACCGCAACAGTGTAGAAATTGCTGGCGATTTGGCCATCCAGCGAAATATTGCAGATCCATAGCCGAATGCCCAGTCTGTGGTGCCGATGACCATTCTAATACGTCTTGCAATCGACCTCCCTCTTGCCTTAATTGTCATGAGGCTCACCCTTCATACTCTCGCCGTTGCCAAGTCTACTTAAATGAGCGGGAAATCCGTTACCTCAAAGAGGCAGAAGGTCTCCTTTATGCCATGGCAGTTTCTCATCTCCGCCTCCAAGGGAGACTACCTCGTGTTTCTTATTCCCGTGTTTCAAAACGTCCCCCCACTTCGGGGGCCCCAAATTTCTGCAACCCCCCTCTGTGTTACCTTCCCATAGTCACTCCTGTATCTAATTCTTTTGCTGCCTAGGCTCAGACGTCCCTACTACAACGCCTCGTCTGTTCTCGCTCTTCGTGTTCTCCTCAAAGCCTCAGTATCGACAGACCTCTACGACACCTCCTCCCAATCATCCCTCTACTTCTCAGAAGTCAAAAAAAGGTCCTTTAACCCCTCCTTCCCTTCTTCCACCTCCTCATTTTACCTTCCCTGTCTCTGTACCGGTTTCTTCCCCTCTCACTGGCCCCTGTTACAAGTGTAGAGGCTAAACCCCTCCTCATACTGTACCTTCCCCCCCTTTTCCCTCCCAAGTTTTTTCCCTCTTCTGCCACCTCCCAGGTTTCTGCCTCTTCTGTCCCCTTCCACGCTTTTTCTCCAGTTCCCTCCACCCTTTTGCCCCCCCCCCAAACTTGGTAAGTCCATTACATTTCCCAAAATCTTTACTCATCCTCCCCCTACCATCTCCAATAATGTCTCCCATACGATGTCTCTGAATTCTGAAACACTTGAAGCAATCTCTGAATATATTGCAGAGACCAAACCATCAATGGACACTGATCCACCCTCTGTTCCTTCTCTCTCCTCTCCTCCGTCTGCGCAACCCCTTTCTTCACAGTGGCACCTTTCCTTCGCTGCTTGAACGTTTTCCGCTGCCTTCGCATGTGGACTTTTCAAACCCCCTCTAGTCCGTAGGAACCCTTACCTGGGGATTTCAAGTATCTTTAATTGCCAATCATTGCCTATTTACAGTGGAATATACGCGGCCTCAGGGGTAATGGGGGTGAGCTTCAGATGTTACTCTCCCAGTTTTTCCCCTGTTGGTTTTGCTTACAGGAACCAAAATTACCCCTCTGCTGTTATCTTTTCCCATCTCAGGCTATAAATTTATTGTATTCTTCAAATCCTTTTCCCTAATGGGACCTTTAATGAAAGTGCCCTTCTTCTACGCTCTGATATTCCGTACCATCAGCTATTTGTTCGTACTTCGCTGCATTACACAGCAGCCCGTATCCACTTGCATAGTGGTATACCTCTGTTCTTTATATCTCCTTTTCCTTCTCGGGCATTATCTATTCTGGATATTGCCTTTCTTGTTTCGTCATTACCACCACCGATTCTGTTACTTGGCGATTTTAATGCCCATCATTTCCTCTGGGGGGGGGTCTCACTGTGATTCTTGTGGCATTCAGTTAGAGGCTTTCTTGCCAGCCACCCCTCCCTGTTTTAAAAACAGGTACTCACACCCATTTTGATCCTCGGACTCGCACACACTCTTGCATTGATCTCTGTCTGCTCTTCCTCCGCTGCATTAGACTTCACCTGGTCTGTTCTCCCGGATTTACATGACAGCGATCATTTCCCAATCATTCTTACTTCCCCTTCATATTCACCACCTCTTCGTATCCCACGCTGGCAATTTGATCAGGCAAATTGAAACCTTTACTCACAACTAACTGTTTTTAGTGAGGTTCCTTCTTCGCCCTCCATTGATGAGCTTTTACACCTCTTCTCGTCCTCCGTTTTAACCGCAGCTTCTCATTCTATACCCCAAACTTCGGGCAGGCATTCTCAGAAATGCGTGCCCTGGTGGTCTCCTGCTTGTGCTCGTGCAGTACGTTTGAAACACGCTGTATGGGGCAGGTACCGGTACAATAGAACCACGGAGAGACTTCTTGATTTTAAGCAGAAGTGTGCGATCGCTCGCCGTGTCATCCGTGACGCTAAACGCACTTGCTGGTGAGATTGTCTCCCCATCACCTCTGCTTCCTCTGAGTGCAGTCTGGAAAAAAGTACCAAAACCGAGTGGTAAATATTCTCCTGACCCGGCTCCTGTTCTGCGGGTTACCGGTGTTGATATAGCAAACCCACTAGATGTTGCCAATGAAATTGGCAATCCTCTGGTCCGTATTTCTCAGGGGCTCCATCTATGCCCCTCGTTTCTTTCCTCAAAGTCTGCCAGAGAGTTAGCACCCTTGGAGCTTTCTTCTCTCAGAGAAGAACAGTATAATGTGCCTTTTACACTTCAAGAACTGGAAGCAACACTCTCAGCTTGCCGATCATCGGCAGCTGGGCCCGACGACATTCATATTCGTATGCTACAACATTTACATCAGTCAGCCCTTGCAGTCCTATTATGCCTTTTCAATCTTATTTGGTCACAAGGAGTTCTTCCCCAGCTGTGGAAATCTGCCTTTGTTCTCCCTTTCCGCAAACCAGGCACTACAGGACATGAAGCCTCCCACTATCGTCCCATTGCTCCTACCAGTGCAGTTTGCAAAGTGATGGAACGTCTGGTAAATAGACGTTTAGTGTGGTATTTAGAGACACACAACAGTCTCTCCACTCGTCAATATGGCTTTCGTAAGGGACGTTCTACCATAGACCCCTTACTACGCTTGGATACGTATGTTCGTAATGCCTTTGCAAATAACCACTCGGTTATTGCCATATTTTTTGACCTTGAGAAGGCATATGACACAACTTGGAGGTATAATATTTTGGCCCAAGCCCACTCCTTGGGCCTCCGAGGCAATCTACCATCCTTCCTTAAGAACTTTTTAACTGATAGACATTTCCGTGTTCGGGTTAATAACGTGCTCTCCCCGGACTTTATCCAAGCTGAAGGTGTCCCCCAGGGATGTGTTCTGAGCACAACACTTTTTCTCCTTGCTATTAATGATTTGGCCTCTAGTCTTCCATCAAATATTTGGTCATTACTCTGTGTTGATGACTTCGCTATAGCCTGTGCAGGCGCTGACTGTCACCTCATTACAGTTTCTCTCCAGCATGCGGTCGACCGTGTTTCCAATTGGGCCACCACACATGGGTTTAAATTTTCCAGCACTAAAACCCACCAAATTACTTTCACTAGATGCTCTGTCATCTCCGATCATCCTTTGTACCTCTATGGCTCCCGTATCCCTGAACGTGATAGTCAAGTTTCTGGGCCTCCTCTTTGACCGTAGGTTATCCTGGAAACCTCACATTACCTCTCTGAAGGCAACTTGTCACAGCCAGCTGAACCTTCTTAAAACCCTTGCTCATCTTTCATGGGGAGCTGATCGTCGAACCCTCCTTCGCCTACATTCCACCCTCATTTTATCGAAACTTGATTATGGTGACCAGATCTATTCAGCGGCATCTCCTGCTACTCTCTCTAGCCTTAACCCCATTCATCACCAAGGATTACGTTTATGCCTTGGTGCTTTCGCTCTTCCCCTGTTGAGAGCCTCTATGCAGAAGCGAACGTTCCATCCTTATCCGATCGCCGTGATGCCCATTGCCTTCGCTACTATGTACGCTCTCATGATCTCTGCAATCCTTCCATTTATAGAATGGTCACTGATATTAGTAGACATTCTTTATTTGTTCGCCGCCCCTGTTTACTCCGTCCCTTCTCTCTTCGCCTTCATTCGCTCTTGTCTTCTCTTCAGTTACCACCTTTCTATGTTCATGTAGCATCTCACTTTTCCCTACCCCCCTGGGAAGTTCCAGCTGTTCGAGTCTGTTCTTTCTCTCTCCCTTGCTCGAAAGCCCAACTGTCTACGGTCGCTTCCCGCTCTCTTTTCTTGACCACTCCACTCTCATTCTCATGCCATTGCTGTGTACACAGATGGCTCTAAGTCTTCTGACGGCGTAGGATTCGCAGCAGTGTTTCCGGACAGCGTCGTACGAGGGCATTTACTATCTTCAGCTAGTATTTTTACTGCTGAATTGTATGCCATCCTTGCAGCACTTATCCATATTGCATCTATGCCTGTGTCATCATTTGTGGTTGTCTCAGACTCCTTTAGCGCTTTACAGGCTATACAGAAATTTGATACACCTCACCCCTTAGTCCTCCGTATCCAACTTTGGCTACACCGCATCTTTACCAAGCATAAAGATATTGTTTTTTGTTGGGTCCCTGGTCATGTTGACGTACAGGGCAATGAACAAGCAGACACTGCTGCGCGGTCAGCAGTACATGACCTACCAGTTTCATATAGAGGTATTCCATTTACGGACTATTTTGCTGCAATATCTTCCCACCTTCACACCCGTTGGCAACAACGTTGATCTATTATGCTCGGTAACAAACTTCAGTCTATTAAACCGAGTATAGGTTACTGGCCGTCTTCTTATCACCAGTGTCGAGGTTGGGAGACTACTCTCTCCTGTCTTCGCATTGGCCATACTTGTCTTGCTCATGGATATCTCATGGAGAGGCACCCTGCTCCTCTCTGTGAGAATTACCAGGCTCCATTATCAGTCAACCACATTCTGTTGGACTGCCCACTTTATCAACGAGCACGCAGAATTTACCTCCGTCGTCGTCTTCGCTCTGCTGCTCTTTACCTTCCCTTCTCGCTGATGGACCCACCTTTCATCCGGACACTCTCATTGACTTTTTGACAACAACTGTCTGACTTCACAAATTCTGATACCTTCAGCCCTTTCTACCTCAATCTCTTGCTACCCTCTATCCCCATAATATCCCCTGCCCCGCTGTTTTCTGTAACCTACTGATCGTCCCTCCTCCGTGCTGCCACCCAATACCCTCGCTTCCTTCCCTACCCTGCAGCGCTGTATAGCCCTTGTGGCTTAGCGCTTCTTTTTGGTTATAATAATAATCTGTCTTGATGTGGTATTTTGGAGCAGTTAGCCCTTCAGGACCTTCCTATTCTCAAAGTGGATACGTATGTCCTGCCGCTCGCGGGCGGAGGCTCTTTCCCAGTAACATCGCCCGCTTAACCTTTGACTGCCATGAACTCCCGTCCTCCATTTATATCGTGGGTCATCACCTAGAAGTCCGTAAAGTGGTCCCTACTCCCCAAAAGTGCCAGAATTGCTGGTGCTTTGGATGCCCCGCTAAATACTGCAGATCTGCAGTGGAGTGCCCGGTCTACGGTGCCGCAGATCATGCTGATACATCTTGCAGTCTTCCCTCCCACTTGTCTCAATTGCAATG